TTAATTTAAGACATTGTTACTCATTTTGAGATCGTTTTTGCAGTGTAATTCCATATCTAAAAACTCTTTGTTTTTCTTTTTGGTACAGTAGTTTGTGTTTCTGACCTTAGCTGCTGTCTTCAGTGTTTTCTTGTTGTGAATATTTATTTCCTATTGTGAAACAATATGCTTTAGCCTGTTTGGAAATAAGCAGCATCTGGTTAGTTTCTGTCATTAATCCTTTGGAAACCATCTTTGTTTTTCTTCTGACTGCTTTTTGTTAATATGTAAGTTTTTTGTACTAATTAAACATGCGAAGATGAATAATCAAATGCTTTTCCAAGCAGACTTCAGTGGCGATAGAGGTCTAGTCTATTATCACACGGCAGGTTTTCAGGTGACGCATAACTGAGAAATCTTTGTTCCCAAAAGGAATGCCTTCCTTATTTGCTTTTTCTTTTTAATTTGTTGCTAGTTTCCATATTTTAAAACATCCTCTGAAACTGTTTATCCTCCCCTTTGCTCCCATCATCTGCTCTCTGTCCTCTTGTTTAGACCAGCCTCCGCTGACCGCAGTCCTGGGTTTGCCACAACTGGAGCGTTGGTCTGACTGGTGTGTTAAGCTGTGGCCTGGATGCAGCACATCTGAAATCCCTGCCTGCTTTTTCCTTCTGACATTTTATTTAGCTCTTGTCCTTGCTGTGACCATTGTGGTTGTAGGTTCACCCAGAGGCTGGGAAATACCCACATCAAACCGTCTCTCCATGGCGATACATGACAATAAACCAAAACTTCAGCTGTCAATCTAGTGTGAGAAACAGGGCGGGACTGAAACCACCCTGCTGAAAGTCATAACACTGGGCCTGGTTTTCCTTCCATTTACAGCAAGAGGACATCATTGTTAGTTGGCTACAGTTTCATGTTGATGCTGTCTGAGGACCAAACTAATGCTACGTTTAGACGCTAGCTGTAGAAGCAGCAGAAGCAGCTGGTTTCCATGCAAAGTCAATGGTTGATGCGTATCAAGGTGCAGCAAAAGGTCCTGCAGCGCGTTTTGAGCAGCAGAAGCAGCGCCTCATGAGCTTCTGACGCGCTTTAGAAGCAGCAGCTGCTGGAGTTGAAAAAAATGTGACTTTTGCTGCTCTACGCGCCACATCAACCAATCAGAGAAGCTGATCTGGGAGCTGGCAGGGAGACAGATACAGCACTGCTGATGCAGAGCGCTATGATCACTCCTCTTTATTAAGGCCTGAATTAACTTATCCTGGTGCCTGCAGTTTGGATTACATATGTGAAAAACACTAACATCTACTTCCAGCCGCCGTGGAAAACTGCGAAGAGGCGACGGGGAGCTGAGGCAGCTGCTGCTGGGGATTCCCAGTGACAGCGCACCGCCGGTATGTGGGGGTCTGAGTGGCTCCCACACAGTGTTGCCAACTCAGAGACTTTGTCGCTATATTTAGCGACTTTTCAGACCCCTCCAGCGACTCTTTTTCAACAAAGCGACTAGCGACAAATCTAGCGACTGTTCTGGTGTCTGCCGTGGAGAGCCTCACCCGTCCCAACCCGGTTCTCCCGCTTCCGCAGGAGTCCCTCTCAGCGCTCAATCAGAGCCACAGCATGTTTACCCTCAGTGTCCAGATTGCGAATGAGCCGCGCACATGTGCTGGGATTGACGGCGCAGGTTGATCACGCTGGTCTCAGCTCCCTCAGCTGCTTAACCTGCCATAGAGAACCTTGACCAACATGACAATGACCCACTCTTTCTGTGAGCAGGCAAGCACAGCCTGTGTGTGTGGAGGGGAATCTTATTAGTTTAAAAAAATAACAATAATTACAATTATTTGCTCACATTGTCATTGATTCTTTGTAGTCTTTTTTTGTTCCATTTAGATTGTTAAAGTTAATGTAATGTAAAAAATTGTATGGTTCCAAATGTTCATGTGTTACCATGCTTTTTAAGCTCCTTAGTGGACCATAGGGGTGTAAATAATAATCGTTTTGTATCGATGCATCGATCCAA